TCCTCCTGCCTCCAGAGCAGCTGACAGGGTAGTCCCATGTGGCCCAGTGACACGAGGGTCATGTGGCATTACCAGTAACGAGCTGTGGCAGCAAAGCAAAGCGGGGATGGAGTCGACAGAAACCCACTGGGATGGCGCCAGCAAGGGGCCTTGAAAGTTGAGAAGGTTTCAGATAAGCAAAAAACAGGGGTACTGGCAACCAGGAGCCAAAGCATGAGCGAGGCTGTCCCCAAGAGCGAGGCCAAGAAGAGTTCCTTCTGCTGGGACAGAGGATCTAGGAGCTTGAGGCATTGGGAGCAGGCCACAGAGGGCAGGTGGGCGCAGTGGGCATGCCTTTACGGGGCTCCCCTCTCCCACCAGGCATGGGCTGCAACGAGTGTACGCACCCCTCCTGCCAGCACTCGCTGAGCATGTTGGGCATCGGCCAGTGCGTGGAATGCGAGAGCGGCGTGCTGGTGCTGGACCCCACCTCAGGCCCCAAGTGGAAGGTGGCCTGCAACAAGTGCAGCGTGGTAGCGCACTGCTTCGAGAACGCCCACCGCGTGCGGGTGTCCGCCGACACCTGCAGTGTCTGTGAGGCCGCCTTGCTTGACGTGGACTTCAACAAGGCCAAGTCCCCACTCCCGGGCGACGAGACGCAGCACATGGGCTGTGTCTTCTGTGACCCCGTCTTCCAGGAGCTGGTGGAGCTGAAGCATGCGGCCTCCTGCCACCCCATGCACCGCGGAGGGCCAGGGAGAAGGCAGGGTCGAGGGCGGGGCCGGGCCAGGAGGCCTCCTGGGAAGCCCAACCCCAGACGGCCCAAGGACAAGATGTCAGCCCTGGCCGCCTACTTCGTATGATGGCCCTGTCCTCCCTCACCCAGGCTGCAGTGCTATGCAGACACCTCATGGCACTTCAGACTATTAAAATGCATTTTACCTTCTCCAGAGCTGGGGCCCCTTTGCTGGTGCAGCGACGTCAGAGGGTTACCGTGTCTCTGGGCACCTGTGGGGCCCTCTTTCCCTCTCCGAAACCCAATACATCTCCCTTCAGCCTGCACACATGTGCCCTGAGTGCTCCCTGCTATCCCTACACCCTGGCAGTACGGGCAGGGATGCCCCAACCCTGAGTCCTGGGGAGTAGACCCAGTTTGCACTCACACCCCATCTCAATCCGTGCTGCTGACGGTAGCTGTGTGCACAAGCAGTGGCCCTGATGCCTTAAGGAAGGAGGCCTTGACAGCATGGCTCCGGCAGGAGAGGAGTGTAGTGGAGCAGGCGGGGCTGGGAAACCCCCTCCCTGGATCTGGCTCATGAATCCCCTTGGTCTTCGCTTCAGCCCCCTGCTCAGGGCTACCCTCTTGATCCCACGCTTCTCCATCCCCTGCTCTCGTCTCTGAGAAGCCCTGTACGTGGTGCCCGTGTGCGTCTGGCAGCTTCCTGGGGCCTGTTGCAATTCCTATTCTCACAACAAGCCCTTATTGTCTTAGAGGCAGCTGGGTGCCCCATGGAACCCATTCACATACCAGGTTTAGAAAATACCCTGTAGGCCAGACTGCCCTGTGGTGCCAGGTGCTGGTGGCAGCTGCGCTCTGACCTCAGTGCCTTCTTGTGCTTCCCTCCCCAACCACCCGAGGAGAGACACCTGTGCGGGGTCCACTGTGTGTTGGAAACTCCCTCCACACTCCACCCGTGCCTCATTGAGTGGTGACAGGAGCTCAGCAAAACAGTGTTCCAGACTGTTCAGTGGGACCTTTCTTTGAGGGGCAGGTCAGGAATGTTTCGGACTCAGACCCCCCCACCCCAACTCAGTAGTAGATTCCCAGGCCACACCAGGACGTATATGAGAGCTCCTGTAAAGAAACCCAGAGCCCGCCCAGCATGCCCCACCTGGACCCCCTTCCTGGAGGCCCTCACAGGTTAACACGGGGGTTCCCTGGAACGCAGTTTGGAGAGCTACTCGAAGCTGAATGAAAATACGCAGAGACATGGGGAACCACATAATGGGTCCTGGGATGTGTCTGACAGGTACAGGCTTCAGGAAGGAGGGGGTGCTCTCGGAGCTTCTGCCCCCTCCCACCCACTCTGGTCCGATTCTGGGGCCCTAGCAAGGCCACACCTGTTACGTCCCCAGTGCAGGGCTGTGACTGCTCTTCCACCCACAAGGCCCAGTGGACCTGGAGCCTTCTCTGCAGAAGGTTTTAGGACCTCCAGGACCTTAGGTTACAGGGCTAATTCAGGCTTACAGGAGCGGAGACGGTTCTTAGGCCTTAAACCCAGACCACCCAGTCCTTCCTTACTATGCTTCTGCACTGCGATTTCAGCCAGAGGCAGGGCTAATCACAAAGTGTTCCTTTATTTTCCTCTGCAGTTGTCCCTTGTACATGACCCTCCAAGGCCCTTGGCGTCCGCAGCTTGATTCTGCACTCCGAGTCCATTCACCTTCTCCCATCCGGTAGCATCCAACCCCGCTGCTACTGCTGCCAACCTGGCCTTGAGAGCAATGAGGACAAGGAAGGCACAAGGCCCCTTTTAGGCCAGAACTGCCTTCAGATCAGCCACGCTCCATGGGACTGTACCTCTGCCCTGGAGGCTGGAGAGGTCAGTGGCTGCAGACTGGCTCAAGGAGCCCCTGGCCCTGCCCACCTAGCCAGGGGTGCAGCCTTGCCAGAGAAGCAGAGAAGCGTCTGTGGCTGGGTGGGTGATATTGAAAGATTCCTTTCACCAGGGTGAAAGCCAGGAGCTGAGGCGTGATGGAATGCGGACAGTGAAGCATTGACAGCGCCACAAGGCAGGAGTCATCTCCAGACACGTCCTTGGCCCATAGGGACAAGCTCCTGGTGGTGCCTCACTTTGCTGTCCTCTCTAAGCCGCAGATCTCAAATGGAATCAGTGCTCAAGAGTCTAATATGCCCCCTCTGAGGATGCCTGCGGGAATATCAGCTTTTACTGCACTTTACCATGTGGGAGGGCCTGCCCCACCCACCACCTCACCTGTGCTGCGCTTCTCAAACTTCACCCCACAGCCATTCTGTTGTAGGTGATCTCAGGGGCAGTTTTGAGAAACAGTGGCCCAGGGTCTCACAACAGCCCTCTGAGATAGGTTGGTTGCTATTGTCCCCATTTTTTCTGATCAAGAAACTGAGGCTCAGGTGAGCTAAGGAATGTGCCCAGGGCCACCGTTTATAAGAAGTAGCCTCAAGCCTTGCTCATGGTTACTGCCCTGACAGGGATCTAGGAAGGAGTGAGCAGGAGAGTGGATGAGGCAGGACTCTCCGTCCCAGCCCTGCTGTCTCTGCCCAGACACCTCTTGCCTTGCAGATCCAACCCCACCCCAGATGGTTTCCTTTCCAATCACCCAGCTGCTAGTTCTCCAGGTTACTGGTCTCACTCCAGGTTGCTCCTGTTAGAGAAGCATCCCAGAGACATTCATTCCTGGCAAGGACACAGGCCTGTGGACCTGAAGGCCAGGTGGGCAGGGCCACAGAAGATCTGGGCGTCCCATCCTCCATTTAAAAAATTATACTTTACAACTGCATTAGTATAAAGATGAATATATTAATATATATTAAAACCTTTTTTTTTTTTACTTAAAGGTTTCTTTCTTCTGCCTTTAAAATATTTTGGCCAGGTGTGATGGTTCACACCAATAATCCCAGCACTTGGGGAGGCTGAGGCAGGAGAATCACTTGAACCCAAGAGTTCAAGACCAGCCTGGGCAACATAGTGAGACCCCATCTCTACAAAAATTTTTTAATCAGCTGGGCGTAGTGGTGCTTGCCTGTGGTCCCAGACACTAGGAAGGCTGAGGCAGGAGGGGAGGCTCGCTTGAGCCCAGGAGTTTGAGGCTGCAGTGAGCTATGATCATGCCACTGCACTCCAGTGTGGGCATCAGAGAAGGAGCTTGTCTCTAAAAAGAGAGAAAAAGAGTATTTCCATGAGCCTCTGTGTTGTCAGAAGAATGACCCTTCAGAGATGTTCATGTGCTATACCTGTGCCTGTGTTAGATTACATGGCAGACCAGGCATAGTGGCTCACACCTGTAATCCCAGCACTTTGGGAGGTCGAGGCAGGCAGATCATTTGAGGTCAGGAGTTTGAAACCAGCCTGACCAACATGGTGAAACCCTGTCTCTACTAAAAATACAAAAAATTTAGCCGGGTGTGGTGGCACACGCCTGTAGTCCCAGCTACTCAGGAGGCTGAGGCAGGAGAATTGCTTGAACCCAGGAGGCAGAGGTTGCAGTGAGCCGAGGTCATGCCACTGCAGTACAGCCTGGGTGACAGGGTGAGACTCTGTCTCCAAAAAAAATTACGGGGAAAAGGGGAATTAAGGTTGCTGATCAACTGATTTAAAGTAGAGAGATGATCCTGGATTATCTGGGTGGGCCCAGTGGCATCTGGAGGGTCTTTAGAAGTAGCAGAAGGAAGCAGAGGAGGGAACCAGAGGTGGCAGTGTGAGAAAGGCTCAACTGGCCGTTGCTGGCTTCGAGGCTGGAGGAAGGGGCCCGAGCCAAAGTATGCGGGGAGCCCCTGGGAGCTGGAAAACGCAGGGGAACAGTTTCTCTCCTAGAATCCTCAGACAGGAACGCATTCTGCCGACTCATGGATCTTCACCCACTGGGACTAAGTGGACTTCTGACCTCCAGAATGGAAAGATTAAAGCCTTAAGGTTTGTGGAAACAAACAACTCACAATAGGCCGGGGACTGTGCCCCCTTCCCTGATGGATGAGCCTGCCTAGGCAGTCTGAATTTGCATCTCTGCTGTCATGTACCAGCTGTTGACGGCACAAGTTGCTTCATTTCTGGGCGCTGTGACCTAGGGATTGCTTTCCCCATCCAGCCGCCCACCCAAAGCTGCAGAAGAGAAGCAAGAGGCCGGTGACTGGGGCGGCTCCGGAGCCCAGGTGGAGCCGCAGTTCGCCTACCACTAAAGGGCCGCAGTCACGGTCCGCATAGCCGCCAGGGGGCAGCAGAGGTCCGGCCCCGCCAGCTTGGAGTCCCGATTGCGCCTGCGCGGCGCCCGCAGCGGCCGGGGACGGGAAGTGGGCGGGGCCGACCGGCAGCAGCTTGCTGGACGCGGAGCGGCGAGGAGACTGCTGAGGCCCGCGGAGACCTGGGGTGAGGCGGCCGGGGGAACGGGATTAGAGGGCTGACGGGGCTGGGACGAGGGTCAGGCGAGCTCCCAAGGCGCACAGGGGTGAAATGGGACCGAGAAACCGGAGGGATGGAATCAGAGGGCTGGGGAGGCAAGGAGGCCGAGACGAGGCTCACATGGGGGCCCCCAAACGGTGCGGGGGTGCAATGCGGGGGTCCGAGGAGCAAGAGGGGCCGCTGCGGACCTGAGGAATCCGAGGCTGGGAGTTGGGGGGCTGGCGAGCCAAGAGGGCAGAACTGGGGGGCCGGCGGGGGTGTGACCGAGCCGAGGGCCTGGTAGGGACCGAGGGCTATGAGACAGAATGGGGTGCTGAGGGGGGACGCGCCCCATTTTCCGAGATTTGGCCTCTCCCCACCCCCCAGGAGCCTCTAGGCCGGCACGTTGCCCCATATGCCCCCAGTCCCTCCACCTTCAGGGGCCCAGTCTCTGCCTGAGGGCCCCCTGCCCCGCGGCCTCCCGAGCGTCTGTGAAGCGAGCGTCAGCTGCACAAGTGCTTGGGCTGCAGCGGCTTCAGCCACAGGTCTGTGAGCCAGAGCCTCAGGCGCGGAGGCCGGGCACACTGCCGCTGGGTTCGGTCAGGCGAGCCACTGAACCTGTCTGCAACAGGAAGAACTGGCTCCGACTGCAGGGATTTCAGCACAGGGCTTGACACACGGTGAGGTCCACTGCATGGTGGCGGGCTCCTTCGAAGCCTTCCACGCTGCGGGACAGAGTCACACATGTCGTGGTGGCATTCCCCGGGACAAGTTCCCTGGGCCCAGATGAGCTCTCACCACGGGGGATAGAAAGTGGGGCCGGCCAGCACTCTGAGGCCATCTCCAGTCTCTTCTGTTGTCAAATTTCGCTCTTTTCCTCCTGCACGCGAGGTGGAAGTACCAAAGGCACCTGGCATCCAGAGACCTTGATTGAGTTCGCTTTGCCCTTTCCACCTGTGTGAGACCTTAAATGGGTGCTTGCCCTTCTAGAACCTATTTCTTCGTCTGCAGTGTAGCCTGACAGTATGTACTTCTCAGCGTAGTTGTGAGAGGTAAACAAAATGAATGCCTTTCTGAAAGCCATGAACCTCTACACAAGTTCATTTGTGGAATTCCTTTGAGATACCGCCTGAAGGCTGGGCGCGGTGGCTTATACCTGTAATCCCAGCACTTTGGGAGGCGGAGGCAGGCGTATCACCTGAGGTCAAGTGTTCCAGACCAGTGTGGCAAAACCCCATCTCTACTAAAAATACAAAAATTAGCCACGCGTGGTGGCAGGTGCCTGTAATCCTACCTACTCAGGAGGCTGAGGCAGAAGAATCACTTGAACCCGGGAGGCAGAGATTGCAGTGAGCCAAGATCCCACCATTGCACTCCAGCCTGGGCAATAAGAGCGAAACTCCCTCTCAAAAAAAAAAAAAAAAAAAAGGATACCACCTGAAGCCAACCGAGTCTTTTAAGACCCGGCACTGCTGCCCACTGCACCCTTCAGAGTGATGTAGCTTCCTCAGCCCATGCCACCCACCAGTCACTCTTCCCTCTGCCATCACACTTATACCACCTGCTGTACACAAAGGGCCATTATGGGCTTTCTGACTGCAGGAAGCTTACAGTCTATCAAGAAAGTCAGGCCTGTAAAAAGTGGTCATTGCACAACAGTGTGACTGTGCTTAATGCCATGGAACTGTACACTTACAAGTGGTTAAAAGGATACATGGTATGTATATTTTACAACAAAAAAATTTATATATGTAGGAAAACATCTAGAAGGATTTACATCTAACTAGTATCAGTAGTTATGAATAAAGGAGTAAGAATCTGCTTTGGTAGAAAGAGAAAGTTGGCCAGGCGTGGTGGGTCATACCTGTAATCACAGCATTTTCGGAGGCTGAGGTGGGCAGATCACCTGAGGTCAGGAGTTCGAGACTAGCCTGGCCAACATGGTGAAACCCCATCTCTACTAAAAATACAAAAATAAATTAGCCGGGCGTGGTTGCAGGTGCCTGTAATCCCAGCTACTAGGGAGGCTGAGGCAGGAGAATCACTTCAACCTGGGAGGCGGAGCTTGCAGTGAGTGGAGATTGCGCCACTGCACTCCAGCCTGGGCGGCAGAGCAAGACTGTCTCCAAAAAAAAAAAAAAAAAAAACAGTTAACAGTGAATATGATAGTTTTGTTACACCATAGTGATGCAGTTTCCTTTTCTAAGGATTACTGGTTGTTGTTTTTTTTTCATTACCCCAGTTCTGCAGTTAAGCAAGACTTAAGTATTTTTTCTGTGTTCCCTAAAAAACTGGTTGTTAAACCCTGCATTCGTTAAGCTTAGGAGTCAAAACTAATGCACTAGAGGAAAATAAATATTTTAAATTTCATAAAAAGAAAACTTTTTACAAGTCAGATGTGAGCAAAAGTGCCATAGAGACATGAGAGAGAGCATGCTGGATCCAAAGGTGTGGAGATTTCAGCAAAGCCTGGAAGGATCCGAGAGATCTCAGGAGGCAAAACGGAAGGAGGACACCACAAAACAAGGAGGGGAGGGGCTGCCCTAGGGTCAGGGGGACACAGAAATGGAAGGAGGAGCCATGAGAGAGCCAAAGCCCAGAGTTGGTGGCCAATGAGGAACAGGTCAGGGAAAGAAGGAGTCAGAATGACTTCCCGGGTGTCTTCACAGTTAGGGCCCAGGTTCTCCGGCATGAACCCCACCCTGGGACTTTGGGCAAGTTCCTTAGCTCTTCTGCTACAGCCTGCCCTGTGAAGTGGGGATAACCACAAGAGGTTGTTGGGAGGCTAAAAACCATCCCAGGAAGAGTGCTCGGAGCAGGGGTGGATGGCAGCTGGCAGCACCATCAACCCCACCCCTGCAGCTGCCGCCCAATGAGTTTGCTTTGCCATTTCCCACCTGTGTGAGACCTTCAATAGGTTCTTGGAGGGTGAGCACCCATTTGGTGTGCAGAGGGGCCCTGATCCAGGAGGAACAAGCTGCCAGTTGCATTTGGCCAGACTGGTCCAGGCAGGCAGCGCTGGGAGGCAGGAGTCCATTGTCCCTCCCATGCCCACCCCAGGCTCTTGGTGACTTGCACAGGCTCATGCACACATCCCTCTCACTCCGAATCTTTCACTGGTGTGCCCTGGTCAGGAAAGCCTGGCACCAGGCCCTGCCACCTCTGGTGCTCTCCCAGCCCTGACTCCTCCCTGCGGCTTGCCACCGGCCTCCACGCCATTCCTGATGCTGTCTCCTCCAGTTGATCCCTCAAAGAACCACGGCACTGTCCCCTACCCCTCCTGGCACTCCCAGGGCTGCCTCTGGTTTCCCTTGGGTGAGGAATTTCTCCTTCCTGCCGGATGTCCCATGGTGTACCTCAGATTCAGGAGCTTATGGGGAAAAGGAAGGAAATGATTCCTGTCCCTTTCGACTTCTGGGCTCCAGGGAGGGAAAGCTGTGTCCTGGTTTCTCTCCTCACCCCTTGCCTTAGGTTGGTGATGCAGAAACAAGGGCGCTTGGTCCCCAGCAAGCAAGATGGCCCTGGGCACCCTGTCTTTCTAACAAGGGCAGGCAATTGGCACAGGCCCTGAGAGTAAGCCAGCCCGTCCCCTCTACAGATGCAGACAGAGCTTCGCACAAGGCATCATCACATCCCCTGAGACCTCACTTAGCACGCATGGCACAGGCACCATTGAGGCCTGTGCGGGTAGCGGGCACAAGGCACAGGGAGAGCAGCAGGTGGCCACAGTGAATCAGGGTCTGCAGTGCAGACAGGAAGGGCCCCCCTCCCTGAGGGAACAGGCTGATTATGGGGAGGAGCTCCCAGCACAGGAAAGAGTACCCCAAGGCCAGGAGGCAAGAAGGAGGCATCTGCATCCCAAAATGTCCAGCAGACGTCACCAGCAAGTGGGGTGAAAGTGAAGGGTCTTGAATTCTGCCCTTGACCGTGGGGCTTTACACTGTGGGCAGGGGTTTCTCCAGGGGGGCCCTCTGTGTGCTGTAGCAGGAAGCATGCTGTCCTCTCACTTGGATCCTAATCATAAATTCACATGAGCACATTTTGTGGTGAGATGACAGAGCGTCCAGATCACTTGGAATTGCAAGGGAGTGGGCGGAGGCCCCAGGCACTGGCAGTTACTGGGGGCAGCTCTGCATTGTTCACATTTCTCTCCCAGAAGCTCCAGGGGGCCAGGGCAGTGCCAGGCAGAAGAGGGGCCCTTGGCCGCTTTCACTGCTTGAGGGCAGCCAAGCTTGCTGGGAAATTCACGCCATCTTCAAATGCCTTGCAGCTCTGCTGGGGCATGGCTGGCAGGCCTTGCCGCCTCCTCATTGACCCACTAGGGCTCCCAGCCTCTGCTTGTTTCTCCAGCTCACAAAGTCTTGCCTTTGTGGTTTGAATGTCAGTGTCCCTCCTCCTCTCAGAGTGATTTTTCCTTATTTGTTTTGTGTTCTTTTTTTTTCTTTTTTGGTAGAGATGGGGGGTGGGGGGTGGGGGGTGGCAGTCTCACTATGTTGCCCAGGCTGGTCTTGAACTCCTGGCCTCAAGCACTCCTGCCTCACCCAAAGCGCTGAGATACAAACCTGAGCCACAGCGCCTCACCAATTGTTTTATGTTCTTTATCTTTTTACCTGCTTGCCTTTTGTAACCTGGGCTGCATTAAATTTACTCCTTGTGAATAAATGTGAACCCTAACAATGAATTTAGTCTATCCCCAGAACCTTCAGTAGCAAGCATCCCTATTTCTACATTATTTGTATGTGTCTACTTAAATTACCTTTCAATTCCTGCCTCTAAAAGAAGAGAGGGGTTTTGTGTTTTGTTAATTTACCACCCTTCACCCCTTGCATTCCAAATCCTTCATTGATCAGACTTGATGCTGGGATCTTTCGCTCTGCCCGCCCCATTTTCTTTTGTGTTTTTTATCTTTAGGCGTCCAGAAGGCTTGTTTCAAGTTAGCAATTCCTGATAAGGACAGCCCTTTTGTGGGCTGTGAGCTCCCTGCATCTCTTACTTCCCACTCTCTGCATCCTGCACCTCAGGCCCCTGTCGCAGCCGTCCTTTTAGCAAAGTTTGTAGGCAGAGTCTGTGGCTATTCTAAGACTGATGATTCTAGAAGATTCTCCTTGCCTCCTTCATTCAGTTTTCAGAACATGGAAGTCCTCATGGAGGTGATGGGCTGTGAAACCGTTCCCCAAATTCTCCACCCTAGAATTTGGGGTGTTCCTCAGTCTCATGTCCATTTGTCACCATAGAAGAACGCAGTTTTTCTCCCCAGCTTAGTAACTGTGTAGGATTTCTTTTTTACTTTTTTCTGTATTCAGTCTCATCCACTACTGCGTAGGACTCGCTGAAGAAAGTTTTTTCCCAGCCTGCCTGTTAGACAAAGCCCAAAGTGGAGTCCCCACTGTGGGAGGGTTTGGAGGGGTCAGGCACCTGAGGGGAAGGGGGCAGGAGAGAGAAGGGTCTATGCTGAGCGGGTGCTGGCAGGGAGGCCCAGGTGTGGGACCTGGAGGTGAATCCCCGGGACGATGCAAAGAACAAGGGGGGGGTGCTCGAGAACTGTTTGGGTATAGGCCAGGCAGGCAGGCTGGGGAGGCAACTGTGGAGATTCTGAGTTGGGAGAGAAGAAGAGCCAGAGCCAACCTGCAAGGAGGCTCTGAGGCACCATATGCCTCTTTCCGGTGAGAGAGAAGCAGGTGAGGGAGTGAAGGCACAGGCTTTGGGATCCCTCTTCAGCCCTGTCTTCCTTCCTGACACCTCAAGCAAGGGACTACCCCTCTCCAAACCTTGAGGTTCTCATCTGTGAAATGGGGGCTTGTCCTGGCTCTTGGGGTGTTAGGGGCAACTCAGGACTGGTCAGCTCTGGGCATTCCAAAGGACTTAGAGAGGAAGAGCCCACATGCCCCACAGTGGGGTCAACGCCTGGAACTGTCCACAGTGCCCCTGTTCCAGCCAGGGCTTAGCAGGCCTGAGCCATTCTAGGCTCACAATTCCCTCCTCCTATTAGAGAGCATTGAATAGGCTGGATGGTGTCCCAGAGCACCTCCTGTCTGTCCCAGGTTAACCCTCTCCTTCTCTTGGGTGCCCCCAGCAGCCTCTGGGGATCCCTTCCTGCTCCCACTCTGGCCTGTCTCCAAAATAGCCCTGGGCCGGCCTCCTGCATCTTGGCTCTTGTCTTTCCTCCCCTGAACGCTGCTAGAGCCCCAGCAGGTGTCCCTCCTACCATCTGGTCACCACATCCAGGCTCACAGACCTGGTGGCTTCACTCCCTCACCTCAGAGCCCTGCTGGCTTCTCGGGACCCGCGATCAGGTTGAACCCCCTCACCTGCCTCAGTGCCTGGCCTCAGCATCCCTGTGCTACTCGTCTCTGGCCATGCTGGCCACCTTCTGCCAGGAGCAGTCTTCCTCCTCTTGTCACTTCTCCTTGACAACATCCACCCAGCTGCTGCTCCTGGCACCATCTCCTGAGACCGGATCTCTGGATGCCCACAAGTCCTCATCTGGATTCATGTCAGGACAGCGGCCAGGGTTGTCCCACCACTTACTAGTGGCCCTGAACCGTGAGGCCATGTACCTGCTACGTGGTGCTTGCAGTTGGGCACCTTCATTGCTGGTGCCGTGGCCCCTTGATTCTGCTGACTCGGACATTTCTCCCCAGGGTGAAGCCTGGAGACCCTCTTGCCCTGGCCCAGCTGCAGGCCCCCGGGATGCTCTGGGCATGTCCTCTGGAGCCCCACAGAAGAGCAGCCAGATGGCCAGTGGAGCTGAGGAGACCCCAGGCTTCCTGGACATGCTCCTTCAAGACTTCCCAGCCCCACTGAACCCAGAGGACCCTCTGCCATGGAAGGCCCCGGGAATGATGCTCAGCCAGGAGGAGGTGGAGGGCGAGCTGGCTGAGTTGGCCATGGGCTTTCTGGGCAGCAGGTAAGCCTGTGCAACCCCAAAGGGGACAGGGAGCGAGGGCGCGGCGCCAGGGCCTACCAGGGATGTGGTGGCTGTTCCCCCACACGTCCAGCCCCACATGGGGATCCGCAGCCCCAGATCCCTATGGCAGCACCGTGTGGACTTCCTGTGGCTGCTGTGGCAAAGCACCACACACTGGGCACTCAAAGCAGCCGAAGCTCATTCTTTCACAGGGCCGGAGGCCAGAGTCCAAGATCAAGGTGGTGGCTGTGCCATGCTCTCTCAAAGGCTGTAGGGAAGAGTCTGCTCCAGGCCTTTCTGTTAGTGCCTGGCCTTGACTTCCTGGAGGTCCTTGGCTTGTAGACTTATTCCTCCTAGCTGACCTTCTTGCATGCAGCATCTCCCTGTGTGCGTTCACACCTCCCCACTCCACCTGCTGTGTGTCTGTGGCTCCTCCTCTTGTAAGGACATGGGCATTTTGGACCAGGGGCTGCTCTCTTACAGTGTGACCTCATCTGTATTTCTTTTCGTGGAGAATGGGGTCTCGCTATATTGCCCAGGCTGGTCTCGAACTTCTGGGCTCCATGAATTCTCATGTTTTTGCCTCCCTAAATGCTGGGATTACAGGCATGAGAGTGCTGTGCCCAGCCAATGTGACCTCATATGGACATAACTAATTACATTTGCAAAGACTTTAACTCCAAATAAGATCATATTCTGAGCCACAAGGGCTGGGACTTCAACATACCTTTTTGGGGAACAATTTAATGCATAAAAGGTGATAAGCAGTAAGTCCTGTTTCTGATGCATGTGATGGATGAGGAGGCAGAGGTGGGTAGATTAAGAGGCTGGTCTGAGGCCTTACAGTCAAGGAGTGGCAGGCCCACATGGCACCCCGGCCACCATGATCTGAGAGGTAGTTGGCGCTGTACCCCTTCCACAGGTGAGGAAGCCAAGGCACAGAGAGGTAGCACAACCAGCTTAGCAGATTTCAGGGAAGATAGAGAGTTATGTGTCCACCAGCAGACAGTGTAGCTGTCTCCTAGGCTGACCTCAGAGGTCCCTTCCTTGGAAGACCCTTGCCCTCCCCTTCCATTTATTCATTCATTCTGGAAGTATTTGTCCCAGGAAAGATAGTAAAGGACAAGGTCTCTTCTCGAACCCTCTCTGCTCAGATGGGGTCTTGGAGTCAGGCTGTCTGTCTGGCACAGGGGACAGCTCATGGAGGTGAGCAGGCTGGTGGGCCACATGCTGTTTCTATGAACCTAGTCCCTTGCTGAGGGGATGTGCCCATGGTCCCCAATCCCAGCATCACCCAGATCACCTGAAATATCACCTGAAGCCATGACAGGCCCTCAGCTATAGCTCCCTCTGACAGAGCCTCTGTCCTCGGTGCTGCCTCAGTATCCCCCAAGTGTGCACTTCCTTTGCCCCTTGCAGCAAATCAACTCTGTTCCTGACACTGACCAAGGGCCTATTTTCCTTGACCCCAGGCCCCAACAGTCAGTGACTTGTGCTCTCCCTGTGCGGCATGGGTGCAAACGTTGCTAAGTGTCAGCCACATGCAAGAGCCATGCCACCCAGCATTCCCCACAGCCGCCTAGAGCTCAGGAGGAAAGGCCCAGTGACCACGCTCCACGAGGTCGTGGCATGCGCAAAGGGTGTTATTGGCTTGTTTTGAGGAAATATTTTAGAGATGTGGCACAAAGTGAATCGGCCCCCAGTGGTGGAGCAGAGTGGGCCCAGCGGGGGTGCCGCGCATGGGAGGTGAGGGAAGGCCCCTCCTCTGCCTTCTTGAGAGGAGCAGGTGGCACTCTACAGGGAGCAGGGGAGTCCAGACCAGGGAGTTCTGCAGCCACTGGGTCTTCGTGGAGGTGGCATGGGGCCATCGCTGCCCTGAGGCGAAAAGCCAGGCCCGGGACAGAAGAGTTGATGCACCTTGGCCCAAGCGTGAGGTGACCAGGCAGAACCAAGTGGTGCCAGCCCCAAACTGGGAATCAGGTGGAAAAGCCATCCTGGGGAATGACAGAGCCCAGGGGTTTGCTGGGCCTGCTTGGGGCACAGGTGCTGAAGACGGACAGGCCACAGCACCGGGGTGACACATCAGCCTTCAGTTCCTGGGCAGGGGGAGAAGGGCGCGGAGCAGGGCCCCAGGGAAGGATCCAAGGTGGGAGGGCCTGGAGGGCTGAGGAGTGAGTAGGCAGTGCAGGTGACCTGCCCAGGAGGGCCCTGAACCAAAGTTGGGGTCAGTGCTGGGGACACAGGGGAGGGCAGTGGGTTTTGGTTTTGATGCGGGAGCAGCCGGACTTGTTGAGCAGCTGCTGTGTGAGCCACCTAGTGATGGGTGTGACCAGGAGGGGCGAAGAGCTCCTGAGCCTCCTCAGCCCCCGGGAACCCACCTTACATGGTGGACTAAAATGGAGTATTTGAAGGTGTTATTTGTTCCAGCAGTCGTATTGGATTTATTTTTTAAGTTAGTTTTGTTCTTTTCTAGCACGTTCTTTCACACGCAGGTGTGGATGTGCATATGTGTAGTCAGCACTTGGGGTCTGAGTCTCACATGTTGTCTACACTAAGTCCGGCTGTCCACACACACGCACTCACATGTGCTCATACATAGTCACGAGTTCCACCTCCCAGCTCTGCTTCTTGTGTCCCAGCCTGAGGATGGGCTCTTGGGCATGAAGGACTTTGAGCATCTTGGTCCCTGAGCTCTTTCACAGATTGCAAAAGGCATCCTTCTGGAGGCTATCCAGGAGTCACAACACCCGGTCTGCAGGGAGCTGTTTATGCCTTGTCTCCCCTCTTGTTTGTAGCCTCCTGTCACATACTTGAGTCCCTGAGCAGTGCATACCATACACTAATGATTTGAGTGTGGTTTTCATCTCTGCCACTAGATTATAAACCCCTTGTAACAACCCCTGCCCCAAAGTCGGTGAGACAAGTGTTTCTCAGGCACCTGGGCCTTGCACACAACTTGGCTTGTCCCTGGAGCATCTTCTTGCCTTGTGCAGGAGCCTGCTCTGCAGGGACCAGAATCAGGGTGGATCTGCATGGTGCAGTGACTCAGGGCTGAGGGCCTCTAAGGCGTGTCCCAGGCCAGACCCTGGGATGAGGCAGGAGCTGTGTCCAGGAAGGGGACGATGGTGGCCCTTGGCCAGGCATTGTCTGGGTCCCCACAGCCGGAAGCTGCCTCCCTGCTCCCAGCAGCAGTGGCGGGTGGGCAGGAAGCTGAGGCCTGGCCTCACCGGGACCAAGGGGAACAGGCGTCCCGCCTCTCTGCTGTGCAAAAGGAAAACCCAGCAGTTGGCAGGAAACCCCCAAATGGCAGAGGAACTCATTTCTCATGTCTTGGCTAGTTGTTTTTCAAAGGCAGTTCCAGAGGCTTCTCCCATGAGTCACCCTTTCATTTTAAAAAATCAGGAATCCGCTGAGCATGGTGGCTTACGCCTGTAATCCCAGCTACTCGGGAGGCTGAGGCAGGAGAATCACTTTCTGAACCCGAGAGACAGAGGTTGTGGTGAGCCAAGATCACGCCATTGCACTCCAGCCTGGGCAACAAGAGCGAAACTCTGTCTCAAAAAAAAAAATCAGGAATCCATCCCGGTCGATTCCTCAGACCATCAGTAGATACCTGGGGTGCGCAGCCCCCATAAGACCTGCCGCCAGCCTGTGCCATTGGAAGGTCCTCGCCTTCCAGTGAAAGCCGGGAGTGTCAGCCCAGTGCAGAATTACCTTGTCACCCCAGGCATGCCCCCGGCCCCCACTCTCAGGGACAGGCACACAGGGGTGAATGTGTGTCATCCAGCTTCCAGGGCCCCCACTGGGTGGGAAGGCAGATTCCAGGGGTCAAAATGCATGCTAGAGGCCATAGGGCCACTGAGGGAGTGACCCCTTCTGCCCGGAAGAGCCAGGGATGGCTCAGAATTTTAGACACTTCTCCCCACAGCCCTCCTCAGCCACAGCTGGCTTCAGTGTCCCTACCTCCAAATGTCTTCCCCTGATCTGCCCCATGGCTGTCTTTTGCCCTGCCTCCCTGCTGAAAGACGCTAACCCAAGGTTAACATTTCCTCCCGTCGGTTTGCTTTCAGCTTGCTGCGACCTCCCTTTCTACCCACTACACCTCCTCGACTGCTCAGCTCTGTTCTGTGACATTGAAAGCAGTGACCCAGTCTCACTTCTTAAAACGTTTCCTTCGTGGCACCCAGAAGGCCACCCTTGGGGTCATCCCCACTTTGCTAGCCATGCTCTGGCCCTGTTGGACTCAGCCCCCTATCCTCATTCATTCTGAAGCTCCATCTCCTGCCTAGACCATGTTCTTGCAGGCCCTCAGGCCTCTTGACCGCTGTGGAAACAGAGCCCATTGCCCATCCCCTGCCTGATCCTGTTCCATCCCCATCAGGGTAATTAACTGCACCACGAGCCTCCTAGTTGCTCAGAACAGAAACTTCAACACTGTCCCTGCCCCTCCATCTATACTGCCCGACTCTGTCCGCTCCTGTTTGTCTCCACGGCCCTGCCCAGCCCAGGTCTTAGACTCTCTCCTCTAGACAGTCATCCCCTCCCTGCCAGCCCACCCTCCACACCAGGGTCAGAGAGGCATAAAAGCCTCATCTGATCATGCCATGTCCCTCTTCAAACAGACCAAAGGCGGCCAGGCGCAGTGGCTCATGCCATTATCCTAGGACTTTGGGAGGCTGAGACGGGAGGATCACTTGAGGGCAGGAGTTCAAGACCAGCCTGGACAACATAGCGAAACCCCACCTGTACAAAATTTTACAAATTAGCTGGACATGGTGATGTCTGTAGCCCTAACTACTCTGGAGTCTGAGGTGAGAGGATCTCTTGAGCCCAGGGGTTTGAGGCTGCAGCGAGCCATGATTACACAACTGCGCTCCAGCCTGGGAGACAGAGCAAGACCCTGTCTCTAAAAATAAATAAATAAAACCCAGACCAATGGCAGTGCTTCCATGTTAGCATAAAGCTTGGCCTGCCCTGTTCCCACAGCCCCTCACCCTGACAGCCCCTCACCCCGGCAGTCCCTATGGCCCCGTCCGCTCAGGGACCTCATGGACCACGCACAGCCACTTCCTCTGCTGACAGCCCCTCACCCTGGCAGCCCCTGTGACCCCGTCTGTTCAGGGACGTCATGGACCACGCACAGCCACTTGCTCTGCTGAGTGTGCCCGTTTGTCCCACAGCCCAGGATCAGTTTCCTGGAGCTGCTGTACAGATGACCACAGACCCAGCAGCTTAAACAACAGAAGTGTGCCTTGTGGTGCTGCAGGCTGTTGTCTGAGATCAGGATGTTGACAGAACTGGCTACTTCTGGTGGTTTGTGGGCAACCCTTGGCATTACCTGGCTTGTAGGCTCATCCCCCAGGTCTCTGCCTCATGTTCCCATGGCATTCTCCCTGTATGTGTGTCTGTGTCCAAATTCCTCCCTCAACTCAGAGCGTCTCGTTCTGTCGCCCAGGCTGGAGTGCAGTGGCACAATCTTGGCTCACTGCAACCTCCACCTCCTGGGTTCCAGCGATTCTTCTGCCTCAGCCTCCTGAGTAGCTGGAACTACAGGCACGCGCCACCACACCCAGCTAATTTTTGTATTTTTAGTAGAGATGAGGTTTTACCATATTGGCCAGGCTGGTCTCGAACTCCTGACCTCATGATCTACCCACCTTGGTCTCCCAAAGTACTGGGATTACAGACAAGAGCCACTGCACCCAGCCCAAATTGCCCTTTTTTATAGAGACATCAGTCATTGGAGTAGGGGCCCAGCCTGCTGCAGCATGACCTCAACTAATTCCATCTGTAATGACCCTGTTTCCAAATTAGCTCCATTCTGAGGTACTGGGGGTTAGGGTCTCTGTATGAATTTGGTGGGGGACATAGTTCAACCCAGAACACTCCCTACCCTCCAGGGTCCCCAACTGGCATGGGTGATTCCTCTGCCCTTCTGTGGCCAGGAGCTGTCATCAGCATGGATGTCAGGCAGTTTGCTTGACCATCAACAGCCCCCTCCCCGCCAGCCCCAGGCCCAAGTTTGGTCCAGCTCCCCACCAGATGGTTGCGCGTCTGCCTCTGCCGTCGTGTGACCTTCCTGTGCCAGCTCCCCAAGGACGGGGGCTGCCCTGCTGGCCGTCCTGACCCCTCAGCATGTGGGCTGACAGTTGGGGAAGGGGTGCTAGGTGTAGTCTCTTGCTGGGTGCTGCCCCTCACTTCCCCCTCCTCATCCCTAGGAAGGCCCCGCCACCACTTGCCGCTGCTCTGACTCATGAAGCAGTTTCACAGCTTCTACAGACAGACCTTTCCGAATTCAGGAAGTTGCCCAGGGAGGAGGAAGAGGAGGAGGAGGAGGATGACGACGAGGAGGAAAAGGCCCCTGTGACCTGTGAGTTCTCTTTCTTCTGAGGCGGCCCCAGGGCTGCTTAGCAGGCAACAGACAAAGGGTGAGGACATTGTGGGGAGCCCATTGATTGGGGTCCCTAAGGGTGCTGGGGCCCTTGCTCACAACAGCAGCAGAATCAAGGAGCAGAGAAGGCTTGGGGCCCCAGCGAGGTGGAGGGTGGTGGTCACAGCCCTCCGTAGGACACGTGGTTCCCAGTCAACCCACGAGACAGGGGTGGGTGGTGCAGACACCCTCCTGTGTCTTGTCTAACTGAAGTTCCAGAACAGCCCAGGAAATTAAAGATGCTTGTCCCATTTCACAGAGGATCTCACAGGCGATCTCTGGTCACGCAGCCAGGTTCAAGTGCCCTCAGTGTTGTAACTCGGTTAACATGCGCCCAGGCAGGCGAAGTCAGGGTCAGCCAAGTGGCATGCCAGCAGGTCTCGGGGGACAGCAGCATGGTCCCCTCAACACTCAGGCCCCCTGCCTCAGCTGCCCCAAGTCAGGATTCTGTTGGATGGAGAAGCTCTACGGTGTCCGTGAGCCCCATGGTTAGATGCTGGTGGAAACTTGTCTGTCAGCCTGCTCCTGGGACAGCCATAAACACGGTGTGGCCAGGGGAACCCAGAAATGGAGAGGGCTGCAGAGCCATTTCACAGAGGATCTAATCATTAAAAAGCAGGGCTTTTATTTCATGTGACTTTCTTTCATTCTAGTAATTTCTTTTTATTATATTTCGCCAAAGTGTTGGTTGATGTTGTACCAGAAATACAGGGAGTGAGAATCGCAGGCTGCAGCAGGGGTGCCACAAGGGGGTAGCAACGCCCCACCCAGCTGAAAACTTGTCCCTGGACAGGCCAGCAGGCAGCAGAGTCGCAGTGGATTTTCCCTTCCTTGCCATTTCCTGTCTGCCATTTCCTTTCCATTCCTTTGCCATTTCCTTTCCTTTCCCTGTTGTTCTAAATTCTGCATTACTAGTGCATGCCTGCATCCAGGGAAAAGCAAGGAACAAGGTGGGAGAAGAGAGAGAAGGCGAATACCCGAGGCGGCCAGCATCAGTCGGTGCCGGCGCTCTCCTCCTCGCTGTCGTCGCCTGCCTCCGCCCTGGCTCCCTGCCCGCATTCCCTGGGAGCGCAGCCTTGCCTTAGCCTGGGAGACAGCTGTCCACAGTGACAGGCAGCCATTGTTCTCGGCCGAGCCAGCGGGCCTCCGGCCGGTGGCAGCTGCTCCTCCTCAGCTTTGCGGCCCCACCAAGGGGGCACCGCCACCGCCACCGCCACCGCCCCGCCCCGCCTCGCCTCGCCTCGCCCCGCCTCGCCTGACCGGCCTCTGTCTGTCCACGCGGGAGACAGCGCCACCTGTCGGTGAGAAGGAGTGTTGCCGTGCCGGCACCAGCCCAGTCCTACGCCCGGGGCTCCTGCAGGCCTGGGAAGGAGGGAGTGCGCAGCCAGAAGGAAGTCTCGCCTGCCGCTGCTTCCCAGTCAGAGCGCCTCGCATGCAGGCCTGCCTAGCGGCCTTGATCATGCGCTCCCTGTCACGGAAGTAGAATGTAGTCAAGTTTTTGGACTCCAAGCCATTCTAACAAAATTGCGTCAGAGTGGGGATTGTATTATAAGAAAGAGCGGGAACTCTTTCTTTCTCTCAGTTCCCCATGTCCTTGGCGTGTAGCCTGTGACACTCAGCTTCTGCCCTGTTTTCTATTACTTGGCTTGGAACTCCTGCCTTCGGCTGACTGGCCCTGACTCACCGTGCTTGCCACATGCACCTGGGCTGGCAGGAGTTTCAGGAGAGTTTGTGCATTGAAGTAATATGAGTCCCTGAAGCCAGAGCCCCCCTGGTCTCCTTTGGGCCTGTTACTGGTTGATCTTTTCTTAGGAAGTCAGGCTTAGGTAGGATTTGGGTATTTTTCCTTTTCAAATGAATATTGTAGCTTGTATTATTTGTTGCTACATAACAAATTGCCCAAAATGTAGTGGCTTAAAACAGCAGACATTTATTCTCCCAGTTTCTGTGGGTCTGGAATCTGGGAGCAGCGTAGCTGGTTCTGGTCCAGGGTCTCTCACTGGGTCGTGGTCACACGGATGCTAGCTGGGCTGGAGGGCCTGCTTCCAAGGTGGTTCCAACACACAGCCATTGGCAGGAGGCCTTGGTCCCGTCCCAGGTAGACTCACCATGACGCTGCTTGAGCGTCCTCACAGCTCAGATTGAGTGATGAGAGGGAGGGAGGAAGAGAGAACACGCAAGGCGGGAGGTGCAGGGCCTCTTTGTTTCATAGCAGCTGAAGCACACGCAGTCACTGCCACTGTCTTCATCAGAAACAGCCAAGTCCTACACTCAGCAGTGAGAAGTGAGCTCCACCTCGTGAAAGGAGAAGTCAAAGAATCTGTGGACGTGCTTTAAAGCCACTGCCATACGAGACTAACACGTGTAATGAAAAATTGGGGAAGTGTTAAGAAAGTATACTTCAGGAAAAAGTTGTCCATGGAACTGCCACCTGCAGACCCACTCTGACTCCTTGATTGTGTGCTGTTCCTGCCTTTTTTTTCTGGCCCTGGTGGTTTTCATGGACTTGTGGTTAAACTGCATATGTAATTTTCCTCCTTTTTTCACTTAGTATCATGACATAAGCATTTTACATGCTTTTAAACTTTATAAAAATCCATTTTTTAGTTTTCTGTTTTAAGAGACCAGGTCTCCCTCTGTCACCAGACTGGGATGCAGTGGTGTAATCAGGGATCGCTGTAACCTCGACCTCCTGGGCTCAAGGGATCCTCCTGCCCCAGCCTCCAGAATAGCTGGGATTACATATACCACCGCATGCATGCAGCTAATTTATTTATTTATTTATTATTTTATTTTATTTTATTTGGTTTGGTGGTGTTTGTTTGAGACAGAGTCTCGCTCTGTTGTCCAGGCTGGAGTGTAGTGGCGCAGTCTTGGCTCACTGCAACCTCTGCCTCCTGGGTTCAAGTGATTCTCCTACTTCAGCCTCCCAAGTAGCTGGGACCACAGGCACATGCCAACACACCCAGCTAATTTTTGTATTTTTAGTAGAGACGGGGTTTCTCTTTGTTGATCAGGCTGGTCTCGAATTCCGGACCTCAAGTGATCTGCCTGCCTTGACCTCCCAAAGTGCTGGGACTACAGGCATGAGCCACTGCGCCCTGCCTGTTTGTTTTTAAGAGACAAGGTCTCATGTTATCCAGGCTGGTCTTGCACTCCTGACCTCAAGCAGTCCTCCCACCTCAGCCTCTCAAAGTGCTGGGGTTACAGGCATGAGCCACTATGCCTGGGCTAGTTTTTCTTAATTAAACTTTTTGTTTTGAGATAATCATAGCTGCACATGGAGTTGTAAGAAATAATACAAAGAGATTCCATGTACACTTTACCCAGTTTCCCCCAGTGGTAACATTTTGCAAAACTATAATAAAATATCACCACCAGAATCCTAACATGGTCAAAATACAGAGCAGTTCCATCACCAGGATCCCTCCTGTCACACTTTTAAAGCCATCCTTATGCCACCACCCCCACAGACCCCATCCCTAACCACTGACAACTACTAATCATCTTGGCTTCTACTATTTTATTTCAAGAACACATATAAATGGAAGCATATGATGTGTAACTTTGGGAGACTGGTTTAATTCTCTGGAGATTAGCCCAGGTTGTTTGATGCGTCAGGAGTTCATTCTTTGCCATTGTTGTGTGGTATTCGAAGGTATAGGTCGACCACGGTTTGTTTAACCATTTCCACACTGAAGGACATCTAGGCCGACTCCAGATTTTGGCTGTTCCAGATAAAGCTGCTATGAACATTTGTGTTCAAGCTTTTATGTGAACAGTCTTCATTGTTCTGGGATAAGTCCGGAGGAGTGCCACAGTGGGGTCATATGGATATTTCATTATGAAAACCATATTTAATAGCAGCTTAATTCTTCATCAAGAGACTCACTCATTATTTATTTTTTTTTTTTTAAACGGAGTCTTGCTCTGTTGCCCAGGCTGGAGTGCAATGACATGATCTCGGCTTACTACAACCTCCGCCACCCAGGTTCAAGCGATTCTCCTGCCTCAGCCTCCTGAGTAGCTGAGATTATAGGCGACCGCCACCATGCCTGGCTAATTTGTGTATTTTTAGTATAGATGGGGTTTCACCATGTTGGCTAGGCTGGTCTCGAACTCCTGACCTCAGGTGATCTGCCCGCCTCAGCCTCCCAAAGTGCTGGGATTGCAGGTGTGAGCCACCACGCCCGGCTGAGACTAGATATATAGTATTTCCAATTAATGGGCAATTATAAGTGATTCTGTACTTTGCCTTTAAATTATTTTTGTGTTTCTGAGAATTTCGTGGTTTTTTTTTTTTTTTTGTTGCCCAGGCTGGAGTGCAGTGGCGCAATCTCGGCTCACCACAAGCTCCACCTCCGGGGTTCACGCCATTCACCTGCCTCAGCCTCCCGAGTAGCTGGGACTACAGGTGCCCGCCACCACGCCCGGCTAATTTTTTGTATTTTTAGTAGAGACAGGGTTTCACCGTGTTAGCCAGGATGGTCTCGATCTCCTGACTTCGTGATCCGCCCGCCCGCCTTGGCTTCCCAAAGTGCAGGGATTACAGGCATGAGCCACCGCACCTGGCCTCTGATGATTTCTTTAGGGTGGCTTCCCATGAGTAGAGTTGCTCCATGGTGGGATGGGAGACTTCAAGGGACAATCTACCAAACTAGACGTTTCTAATTCTGATAACAGGCTGCCATGTGCACATTATTGAGTTGATGTGCTCACCATGCCCTGGGAGGTGATGGGGGCTGTGCGGGCCCCAAGTGGGAGCTGTCGGGGAGCCAGCGAGGCCTCAGCTGGTTTGGTTGGCACTTCCCTGACAATCCCTCCATTGTGCCCATCAGTGCTGGATGCCCAAAGCCTGGCACGGAGTTTCTTTAACCGGCTCTGGGAAGTTGCCGGCCGGTGGCAGAAGCAGGTCCCATTGGCTGCCCGGGCCTCACAGCGGCAGTGGCTGGTCTCCATCCACGCCATCCGGAACACTCGCCGCAAGATGGAGGACCGGCACGTGTCCCTCCCTTCCTTCAACCAGCTCTTCGGCTTGTCTGTGAGTGCTCCTGTCCAGACCCTGGGGAGAGCTTCGGAGGACTGGGGCAAGGGTGGGGGCTCCCCAGGTACCGAGAAGAGCTGTCCACCAAGGCCGAGACAGGAGAGACACCTGTCAGCCTCTGAGCTTGCCCAGCAAGAGACTAAGAAGGACAACAGTGTGAGTCTGTTATGAGGGAGGCTTGGGTGCCATGTTCCCCTGACTCCAGCACCAGGAGTCACCTGGGGCAGCCCCTCATTTTATGCTTGTAGCAACTCAGAACAGATGGTGAAACTGAGGCTCCCGCGAGCTGTCCTTTTCCAAACCTCCCAGCTCATACACACATAAGCTGGGCGAAGGCCATACTGATTCTCCCAGACTCTACCCCATCAGTGCCTGGTGCCACACCCCCCTGGGAGCAGCCTGGGTCCTGCGGGTCTGTGACTCCCACCGCATTCCCACCAGGACCCTGTGGACCGTGCCTACTTTGCTGTGTTTGATGGTCACGGAGGCGTGGATGCTGCGAGGTACGCTGCTGTCCACGTGCACACCAACGCTGCCCGCCAGCCAGAGCTGCCCACAGACCCTGCAGGAGCCCTCAGAGAAGCCTTCCGGCGTACTGACCAGATGTTTCTCAGGAAAGCCAAGCGAGAGGTGAGGACTGGCAGCTGGGCCTCGGGTGCAGTTTGGAGGCCAGTGAGAGTCCTGGCCTCTGCAGCGGGAAAAACGCCAAAGGGGCTAGTGGTGCCAGAAAGTCCTCACTAAACACTGCCGGTGGTCCTGCCGTTTCTTCTTACAGTATGAGGCTAAAGGGGCTTGGTTCTCACTTGAACAGAAGCAGCACAAAACCTGCCCCAATCCAGCATGCTGGGCCACCAGGCCACATAGACCTGCCTGGTGTAGAGGGTCTGCTGGCCTCAGGGAAGACAGCCTGTGGTCAAGTGTTCCTGGGATTTTGTTTTAATGAGATATGGCAAGGTGACAGACACAGACTGGTACCTTAGCAAAGAGTTTACTACTCACAGTTCCCGAGAGGAGGGGCCACGCCTCACAGGGCCGTGCATGGGAAGCACTGAGGTAGTCGGGACGCAGAGGGAAGAGAGGGAAGCTGGGTCGGAGCCTTCTCTGCATCCTCCCCAGGTGTTGGCTGTCTCGAGGAATCAGCTGGCCCAGGAAGGGGCAGCCCCTCCAGGACCAGCGAGGCCCCAAGATGTCAAAGCATCGTAAAAGGGGGAATACGTAAAACGTGTTTAATCTACTGCCTGCCTCCCCTTTCTCCTCTAGGCAGGGTCTCAGCAGACTACCGATGTCCTCTGGGAACACTCCTTCCTCGGGAGTTACAGCCACGTGTAGGGATGAGGCATTTGTTTCTGAAAGAAGAAAGAACACAAATGCATCAGGCCCCTCCTCTGTGAACTTACACACTGTGAACCTCACCAGCAGAATTTCACTAGGTCCTCCTTGTAGCCCTGTGAGGTGAATACTAACATTGTACCCATTGTAGACATCGGGAAACTGAGGCTCAGATTGCCCTAATGAGAAGACACCAGGGGAAAGGTGCACTTTTGTCACACGCGCTGAGCACAGACCTTCGTGGAAATTAGCAGAGCCGGGCTTTGCATCTCAATAGAAAACCGTGCAGTCTCTGCAGCTGCAAGGACCCCACTGAAAAGCAGTCAGGCCTCCACTCCTGGCCCCTCACCTCACTCCACCCCCCAGGAAGTGACAAAGGCCTCTGAGCTCAAGGCTGCCTCTCAGAGTAGAAAAGGGATTCTCTGAAGCAGGTATAACCGCTTTATTGAGGCTGAGCACAGTGGCTCATGCCTGTAATCCCAGCACTTTGGGAGGCAGAGGCTGGTGGATCACTTCAGGTTAGGAGTTTGAGACCAGCCTGACCAATGTGGTGAAACCTCATCTCTACTAAAAATACAAAAATCGGGTGTTGGCTCACACCTGTAATACCAGAACTTTGGGAAACTGGGGTCGGTGGATCACTTGAGATCAGGAGTTTGAGACCAGCCTGGCGAAAATGGTGAAACTCTGCCGCTACTAAAAATAATTTTAAAAATTAGCCAGGTGTGGTGGCACGTGCCAGTAGTCCCAGCTACTCGGGAGGCTGAGGCATGAGAATCACTTGAGCCCAGGAGATGGAGGTTGCAGTGAGCCAAGACTGTGCCACTGCACTCCAGCCTAGGCGACAGAGCGAGACTTTGTCTCTAAATAAATAAATAGCCGGGCACAGTGACTCATGCCTGTAATCCTAGCACTTTGGGAGGCCAAGGCAGGCAGATTGCCTGAACTCAGGAGTTCAAGACCAGCCCGGCAAATGTGCAAAACCCCATCTCTACTAAAAACACAAAAAATTAGCCGGGCGTCGGTGTGTATGCCTATAATCTCAGCTAGTCGGGAGGCTGAGGCAGGAGATTCACTTGAACCTGGGAGGCGAAAGTTGCAGTGAGCCGAGATTGCGCCATTACACTCCAGCCTGGTTGACAGTGAGACTCTGTCTCAAAAAAATAAATAAACATCTTTATTGAGATACAATTTAAGTGGTGCATATTTAAAGTCCACAATTTGGCAAGTTTTGGCTTATACGCATGTACACCTGTGGATTCCTCACCACAGTAACGGGCGTATTTATCACCCCCGGAAGCTTCATCCTGCCCCGTGTCATCCTCTGCCCTTCCCTGTGCACTCCCCAGACAGCCCCTCATCTCCTTTCTGACACTGCAGACAGTTTGCATTTTCCAGAGGTGGATGTGAATGGGGAGCTGCAGGATGCACTCTCCTGTCCCTCAGTGTGAAGTTCAGTACGAGCCATTGCGTGGCTCAGCGGTTCTGCCCATTTCTGGCTAAGGTTCAGCCTGTACCGCATGTGCCTGCAGTGCAGACCCGTCCCCACCTCCTGTCAACTCTCATGGGCCCTTTCTCCCTGCAGCGGCTGCAGAGCGGCACCACAGGTGTGTGTGCGCTCATTGCAGGAGTGACCCTGCACGTCGCCTGGCTCGGGGACTCCCAGGTCATTTTGGTACAGCAGGGACAGGTGGTGAAGCTGATGGAGCCACACAGACCAGAACGGCAGGTAAGGGGATCCCTCTGCCCAGGCCCAGGATATTCCCAGCCACCATCATGCTGGACCCACAGGAGAACCCCAGCCTGGGAACCTCAGGAAGTACTAATCCTGGCACCTTTCAAGAGGGAGGGCTCCCCACCTGACTTGAGTCCCAAGGGGTCCCACGTGAGCCCTTCCTGAGAACTCTGTGGGTCACAGCTATATGGAGCCCAGAGCTCCAGGGGAGAGCAGAGCCCTCTGCACTGACAGGCATCCCAGTGCAGTCAGCGCAGCCCAGTGCAGACCAGAACCTGCCCAACACACGGACAAGGAGGCCACAGGCTGTGGATGAGGGGGCCTCGGGGAAGTGACGCTGCCCCGGGACTGGAGGGAACCCGGCTTGGGGCTGTACTGAGTAGAGGCTACCCTGGCACTCAGGTCATTACCTGGACATGAAGATCACAGTCCCACTCAGACCTCTTCTCACAAGACTGTCTCGTCCATGTGTCTCCTGAGGTCAGATTGCGAGCATTTAGATACCATGGAATGACTGTTTATCCCTCAAACCCCACTTTTCCCACATGCTGCTCTCCACTAGTTATGTTGAATTAACCATGCACATGGTGGATAATTCTACATCAGCACATAGGAGCACTCATCCTTTCTTGGGGCTGTGGACATTGCATGCATCATGCAGTCCCTTGTGGGTGAGCATGAAGATCTTTTCAGTCTTTTGGTGTTGAAAACAATGCATCTGTACCTACTTTGTGCAGCATTAATTGCTCAAGAGTCAGGTGTATCTGTATCTGTAGGACACATCCCCAGAAGTGGGATGGCTGGGTTGGAACTGATGCATGTACAGTCTGGGTAGATTTGTCAAGCTGCCCACCTCAGGCCTTGCCAGCCTGGGCTGGCACTACATGCCCAAGAAGGTCCATTTCCCCACAGTCCCACCAGCCTGCAGGATTCTTCCTGTCAGGTAAGAAGGCTGTCTTGGGGCAATTGTTAAGTTTGCTTTTCTGTTACAGAGTGAGTTTGAGCATCTTTTCAAAAGCTGAAGATCATTTACACAGCCTTTCCTGCAAACACTGTTTTTTCCTTTGCCTGTTTTTCTTACCAGTTTATAGGTTCCTTGTATATGTTAAGGAGGTTGGTTCATTATCTGTGATTTGCAAATATTTTTCCATGCATCTTTTCTCTTTTATTTTTGTGTATGGGCTTTTGCTACATGGAAGTTTTGTTTTTCTGTAGTTGAGTTGAGTAGTCTTTGTTTTTGTGGCTTCTGGGTTTGGAAAGCACGGCAGAGATCACCAGGACTCGATGATTGTAACAGTCGGGGCAGCCGCGTTCCTTGGCCTTTCACCGCGGCTTATGGTCTGGGCTGGGCCCCTGTACGTCCTCTCCCCATTGTACGGAGGAGAAAACTGAGGCTCAGTCACTTGCCCAGAGCACACTGCCAAAGTCACAGATAGTCTCTGCCACTCCTCTGCCTCCGCCGTCGGGGAATTTGGCACCTGCTGCCTAGTGGGCTCTCCTTCCCAGGACGTGCAGTCAGATAAAATGTGGCCAAGTCAGGATTCGTGCTGGGCCCACTCCCATCTGCTGCTTGCACACCTGCAGGCTCAGCATTCAGCACCCCCTTAAAGCCCAGTGGGGACTTTGTTCAAACACTGCCTGAGCCCTGCAGTATGGTGCCGTGGCAGAGCATGGATAGACAGCCTTGCCTGGTCCCAGCTCCACCACTTCCAAGTCCATCACACGGGAGTCCCTGGAGGTTTGGGCTAAGGATTGTGTGGGCCAGTGCATGTGGAATGCAGAGATCAGAGCCTGCACAAGAGAAGCACACGCAAGGGTCTGTGTTCTTGGCTGCAGCCTACTTGGGCCAAGGAGTTCAGATCCAGTGCCCTGCCACCATGCTCTGTAGGCTTGGCCCCTCCTGCTGTGATGCTGATCATAGCCCTCCACCCTAGAGAATTAATCACAGATCCAGGCCAAGGTTCTGCCACAAAAACAAGCATCATGTCAGTTACAAGGGCAAGAAACTGGCCTCAACCTGGTGAGCTTCAACAGGGGTCCAGCAGCAGCCCAGAGCAGCTTCGAGGAGTACATGGGGAGTTCATGGTGCTCTGCCTTGTTCTGCAGCTGTCTGAACAGTCTCCTGCCTCTGCACTCAGTTCAGCCTCCAAGCACTGAGTACCCACTCTGCACAGGATACTTTGTAGAGGCAGTGAGATAACACAGGACCCACTTCCTGCCTCTTAGTCTAATAGGGGAGCAGGAGGAGGGCAACGACCTGGGTAGGATGTAGCAGAGATGAATGGAATGGAGTCACATCTCAGGCAGATGCAACTCCTGCAGGCCAGGGGAGAGGCCAGGAGGAAAGGGCAGGTTATGTTAGAATCGGGGCCAGGTGTGGTGGTGCGCCTCAAGTGATCCTCCCACCTCTCAAGCCTTAGGAGACAGGAGGATGGCTTGAGCCCTAGAGGTCGAGGCTGCAGTGAGCTATGTTCATGACACTGCACTCCAGCCTTGGCAACAGAGTGAGACCCTGTCTCCAAAAACAAACAAACAAACAACCAAAATCAGTGAGTAGGAGACTCATGGGGAAGTCCGGGAGAAGACCCCTTAGCTGGGGATGTGTTAGTCCTGGACCAGGCTGAGACTGGCTAGTATGTAATGGAAGCAGGAGCCACTGGAGGGGAGGAGGACCCAGGTGCAGGGCCAGGGTTAGAAAGGTGAGCCCGGGGAACCTGTGCAGCCAGGGTTGGCGCAGCCTGTCCAGCACAGGAGATGGGGCATGGTGGGAGAGGGGATCACAGGCTTCAGGTAGGAAGGTTCTCAGCTGAGAAAGCCTGCATGGCCCCCTGCTGGGGAGAGCCCACCTCCAGAGGGCATGGGAAGCAGATTGCAGTTCATCCTCCATCACCCGCCCACGTGCCTGCCTCTAGGACATTGAGGGGCTGGAGTGGGCTGGGGTGTGTGGGAGACAGAAGCAGAGAAAGTCTCCTGATTCTCCCTGGAGCCTCCCACACTCACAGCCCCTCCCCAGGGAATGCCTCTGAGGCAAGGGGAGGAGGCGCTGCTTCCTGTGCAGCTCCTTGCTGTCTGCAGGCGTCTTCACGCGTGTGTGGGCACATATATGTGTGAACATTCGTGCGTACTGTGTGTTCGTCCACCTGCCTCTCCCCACGCCCTTTCTCCTCCCCTCTTCTTCGCTCTCTCCTGCTCTTCCCTCCTTCCTGGTCCTCCTTGCCTTTCCCTTGCCCTGCTCAGACCCCAGAGGTGGCAGATCTTAGACCCAGAGAGAGCCCTGAGGTCCCTGTTTCTGCCTCCTTCATGGCTTGATTCCCCAGCTCAGCTGGGACAGGAGCACCCAGCCCACCAGGCTGGTCCAGTTGCCACACAGGCTCATGGCTGCGGCGTCCAGGAAGGCCAGGACTCCTGCAAACCCACATGATTCCCACCACGATGCCCTCTGCAGGGGAGCCTCACGAGGAGGCCTCCTCCTTGGTGCAGGCGTCTGGAGAGGGTTCCCTCCCCCAGGCCTCCCGCAGTGCATGTCCATCTGCTCTGGGGAGGGGATTGGCTGATACCCCAATCTGTCCAGGGGACACCATCACCTGGGGCATCAGAGTTCTCATGCCCAGCTGGTGCTGTGCTTGGGGACTAGAAGGGCTGGTGCTGCATGGGGTCAGGAGGTTTACCTGATAAGGGAAACTGGGAAAGGATGCCCTCTTTCCCCAGTAGACTTGGGAGGTACCTCACTCCCAGGGTGCCTCCGTCAGTCTGTCAGGGATGCTGCTGTGCAGGCTTCAGGCAGCAGGCTGTCATCAGGGCAGCCTCTCCCTCGGGCAGAGGCTGATAGGACCAAAGAGTTTTCTAGAGGACTTGTGGCTGGACCAAGCCTCTGTCCTGTCCCTGGAGGAACCTAGGCCTGGAGTGTTATGGTCCCCAGGTGAGTGGAGACTGTGCCTGGGCTGAGCTTGGGTAGAGGAGGATAAGAACTAGGTGGGGCACAGTGGCTCACACCTGAATCCCAACACTTTGGGAGGCCGAGGAGGGCAGATCTTGAGGTCAGGAGTTCGAGTACCGTCTGGCAACTTGGCAAAACCCCATCTCAAATAAAAACACAAAAAAATTAGCCAGGGCATGGTGGCGGCCCTTGTAGTCCCGTACTTGAAGGCTGAGGCAAGAGGATCACTTGAATCCAGGAGGCAGAGGTTGCAGCGAGCCCAAGATCGTGCCACTGCACTCCAGCCTGGGCGACAGAGCGAGACTCTGTCCAAAAAAAAAAAAAAAGGAACTGGGTGGCACAGGCTGCCGTCAGGGCCTGGCTCAGGCTTCCCTGCTGTGTGACCACTCATGTCACATGTTCTGTCTTGGCCCAGCAGCTTTCAGGGCACGAGGACAGTGTCCCGAGCTAGAGACAGGGAGCAGAGGGATCTGCTATCTGTGTCAGGTCGCAAGCCTGGCTGAGTGCCTCCCTGAACCCAGAATGCTGCACAGGGGCGCAGGCACCGCTAGGTGGCCTCAGGTGGTCCGTTCATTTTACCATTTGTGCAATAACAGGACTGTGGGTTGTGTATTAATTTCTCCACTGTTTTTAATGACCCTAGTCTTTGGGTTGCATCTCTGAGCCTCCCTGGCTTTGTCAAGTTGCTGCGGCTTTGAATGCCATCTTAGAAGCAGCTCTGCCTCTGCTCAGGTAGCAGCAGGGAGCTCCACACCCCCATCCCCCGGCCTGGCCCCTGACTCTGGCTGTGTTTCTGCAGATGAGAAGGCACGCATTGAAGCATTGGGTGGCTTGTGTCTCACATGACTGCTGGAGAGTCAACGGGACCCTGGCCGTCTCCAGAGCCATTGTGGAGCCAAAGAGGCCGGACCAAGTGAGAGGAAGGTCTCTCAGAAGCCCAGGCCTCGGCAGTTGTGGCCCGGCAGCTCACCAGGGGTTCAGGGAGGCAGTGCGGTGGGCCGAGGGGATTTGTCATGCACTGGGGTGATATCCTCCTAGTGTGAAGGGAACAGGGCAGATTCAGAGACTGCAGCATGAGTAATTGAGTGTAAGTTACACTGTATGTTATTATCTCACCTAAAACAGCTCCTACAAATCTCGTAGAAACCTGTGCCTCGCTACCCTGTGGGCTGGAAGTAAAGCTTCCAATATTTCAGAAATGAGGTTTATCCTCCTCCCGCATTCATGCTGACGATCCTTTTTTCTCTTTTGGGAAAAATGTGGGTTTGCTGGCCAGGGTGGCTCATGCCTGTAATTCCAGCACTTTGGGAGGCCGAAGTGGGTGGATTACCTGAGGTCAGGAGTTCGAAACTAGCCTGTCTAATATGATGAAACCCCATCTATACTAAAAAATACATACATACAAAAAATTAGCCAGGCATGGTAGTGAGCCCCTGTAATCCCAGCTACTCGGGAGGCTGAGGCAGGAGAATCGCTTGAACCCAGGAGGTGGAGGTTGCAGTGAGCTGAGATCACGCCACTGCACTCCAGCCTGGGTAACAAGGAAAACTCCGTCTCAAAAAACAATAATAATAAAAATTTTAAAAAGTAATAGATCTGGCTGGGCGTGGTAGCTCACACCTGTAATCCCAGCACTTTGGGAGGCCAAGGCAGGCGGATCACCTGAGGTCTGAAGTTCGAGACCAGCCTGGCCAACATGGTGAAACCCCTTCTCTACAAAAAATACAAAATTAGCTGGGTGTGGTGGCACGGGCCTGTAATCCCAGTTACTTGGGAGGCTGAGGCAGGAGAAGCACTTGAACCTGGAGGCAGAGGTTACAGTGAGCCAAGATCGTGCCACTGTACTCCAGCCTGGGCAACAGAGCCAGACTATGTCTCAAAAGAAAAAAAAAACTAGCCAGGCGTAGTGGCTCATGCCAGTAATCCCAGCACTTTAGGGAGCCGAGACAGGCAGACCACCTGACGTCAGGAGTTCGAGACCAGCCTGACCGACATGGTGAAACCCCATCTCTACTAAAAATACAAAAAAAAATGAGCCAGGCATGGTGGCTGCCCTCCAGGCAGCTCTTGGGGTCCTGAGGGAGACCTACCATGTGACCAGTGATGGTTGTCGTGGGACCCACGGCTCCCGGGGCCCAGACACCAGCTCCTCAGCAACATGGAGCCCGCTGCCCTGCTGCCTCATCAGGTGGCTCTGGATGAGGCCAACAACTTCCTGGTGGGGTACGACATCAAAGAAGCCATCGCAGGCGAGCAGCAGGTAGTCCTCGGAGCCTGTCAGCGCCCGGGAAGCTGCATCGGCCTCCCAGACACGTAGGGCTTCTGGAGAGACATCCCCTGGACAGGCAGAGAAGAGGCCCGGGTCAGAGGACCACAGTGTCCGG